ACTTTCTCTCAATTATGCAAATATTGTCAACGTGTTAGCAGCACAAAATGGGACTTCAAGGAACACAAATATTCCACTTAAAAGCATGAATACTACAAGGAATAATGATAGAAAATCTTTTGATAAAAGCCAAGTGGTTTGTTGGCGATGTGAGGAAAGAGAACATTATTCTAGAGAATGCTTGTCTGAAAGATCTTCTAAAGCAAAACCAAGAAATATTAATTTAATTGAAGTTTTTACTGATGACGAAGAAGAAGAGGAAACATCTGAAGTATATGCAGGAGAAAGATCTCGATCATATACCACTGATAGGAAGAATGCAAGAACGCGACAAAGAGAAATGATTAGAATGTCTGAATTAAATAAAGAGATGAATCTTAGAACTCGTGTTATTAACCCAACTGAAATGGAGGTAGAATCTACTCCTAAACAAAAACCAACTAAAAGGACGCGAAATCCTTCTAGAATTGATAATCTTGCACCATATAATATAGCTAACGATATTCTATCGAAACAATCTTCTGCGACTTTAGGACAATAGTTACAAATACCAGCCCAAAGGAGAAATTTAGCAAACGCCTTAAGACGTCATCTTATATCAACACCTAGTGTTAATTCCTTGGAATTCATAGATGATGAACCAGGAAAGAAAACAACTTCCTGCAAGGCATATATTAGAATTAAGAATAACCCATCGAAGCTATAATTGATACAGGAGCAGCTGTTAGCATTATTACAAATAAGTTAGCTAAAAAGTTGGGACTTAATATTGATAAACCTTTTAAATTAATCGTGACCACAGCTAATGGGAGTCGTGTAAGAGCATTGAGACAAATTACTGAAGCAAGAATAATTATACAACATGTATCAGTTCCAGTAGAACTTCAAGTAATTGAGTCGCCACAGGATACATTATTATTAGGAGTAGATTGGTGTAGAAAAACCAAAATGAATCTTGACTTTAGTACACAAACTGCTTCTATTTCATATGTAACTAAACGAGCTACTTTTATCATCCTCTTTGAAGAAGGAATGGTAGACGAAAGAGAAAATTTAGACCAAGTCTTAGACGAATATGAGGAAGAAGACTTGGATGAATATGACGTATTCTTAAGTGAAGTTGAAAATAACACTCAACCAAAATATGTAATGAATATCATGTATGATCACCAGGATATTATTATGTCACAAAGAATTAATCCACGAAAAGAAATGTATAAAATGTGGCAAGTGCCAGGCGGAAAAGTAAAACCTAATGAAATATTACTTCAAGCAGTGTTAAGGAAAACGTATGAGGAAACAGGTATCCCAATTAAACCTGAAGATGTAGACTACCTTTTTAATGATGACTTCTACGATTGTGATATATATATTACTAAAATTGCACCAGACTGGACCTTTGAACAAACTGAACTAGAGAAGCAAGGAAAATGGTGGCCATTTTGCTTTGAAGAATATGCAGATATGGCAGTACAAGGAGAAACAACTCCCACTCATACTAAATATGCAGATAGAATTTGGAAGAAATTCGTGCAAGAATACATACAAATAAATATCCAAGTGTGTATCTAGCTGACCTACCAAAGGAAGAATAAGAAAAACCTAAATTACAAGTTGGACCACTAAATGCACATCAACAGAATACGTTTCAACAAACTCTCGAGAAAAATAGTGATTTGTGTGCTGGAAGTCAAACAGATACAGGACGAACTGCCATCATCAAACATTCCATAATTTTGGAAAAAGACATACCAATTGCACAAACGGCATATAGATGTAGTCCAGATAACTAACAATTTCTGCGTCAAGAAATCGAAGACATGGAAAATAAAGGTATTGTTAGAAAATCAAAAAGTCCATGGGCATCACCAGTAGTAATTGTAGCAAAGAAAACTGGAGACAAAAAAATATGCGTTGATTATAGGAAACTAAATGCAGTCACAAAAAAGGATGCTTATCCTTTACCTAGAATTGATGATATGTTGGAATCATTTAGAACAGCAAATTGGTTTACCACATTAGATTTAGCTAGTGGTTATTGGCAGGTTGAAATGGAAGAAAAAAACAAGGAAAAGACTGCCTTTATCACCAATTTTGGATTATATGAGTTTTACGTAATGCCTTTTGGGTTATGTAATGCTCCAGGAACTTTTCAAAGATTAATGAATTATGTTCTATAACCATATGCAGCTAAATTTGTCTCAGTGTATTTAGACGATATCATAATTTATTCAAGATCTTTTGAACAACATATTGACCATATTAAACAAGTCTTTCAAGCA